AATAAGTTGGCTGTTACTGTTTCATGGGTGTTAGTGGAAGACACAGAATTCTTGGGACAGACACAAAGCCCCCACTGTGCTAAGTGCTTCTTCTACACTTCTAGGCGTTTTTTCTACAAAATCTTTACGAGGTAGATTTTTTAAAATGTTTAATTAATAACTATTTTATGGAGTTAAAAACAGACTTAAGGAGTTAAGTAACATGCACAAGTTTTTCCAGCCTAGTAAATGGCAGAACCAGGACTGGAACTCAGTTTCTCTGAGCCCATCCTCCATTCTCTGTGTCATATATAATTCTTAGTATCTCTGTTTGTTGGGTAGAGAACTATGTATATATCTTGAAATCAAGATTTTAAATTTTGTGAATTTCTAGTTTTTTGGATATATAACTTTCCGATGGAAGGGTTAATATCTATGTGGATTTTGTCTATTTATAATTCTGACTTTATATATTTCAGAGCTATATTTGAAGTTATATATAGCTATATATAAGTATAAATTATATAATCATACAAGTAAGAATTATATAAAGATATAGTTAAGATATATACAAAGCTATATATAGTTCACATATATAAAAAACATACAAGTTCAGTGAATCTTCGTGGTGAATTATTTTCTTTTACCACTATTTGCTTATTTTGGCTTCAGTAATGTATATGTACTATTAATATTACTATATAAGATATTTGGGAGTTGGTGTTCGTCTAATACAAATAAAAGGATGACAGTCCTTTTAAGTGTGCTTAATTGGTTTTGTCTTAGGTATGTTTCTTATAAGAAGCATATAGGTGCCCGGCCGGTGTGGTTCACTGATTGAGCGTGGACCCATGCACCAAGAGGTCCCCAGTTCAATTCCCAGTCAGGGCATATGCCCAGGTTGTGGGCCAAATCCCCAGTGGGGGGCATGCAGGAGGTGGCCAGTCAATGTTTCTCTCTCTCTCTCCCTCTCCTTTCTTCTCTCTCTAAAATCAATAAAGGAAAAATATTTTTTAAAAAAGAAGCAGCATATAGCTATAGTTGGTTTTTCATAATGCAATCTGATAACCTGTCTTTTGAAAGCTGTCTCCCTGCTGGTATGTCTGTAAAGATTCTAATTCACTAGTGTTACTTTTCTAGTGCTCTGTAGTTCAGATAATGTAGAGAGTAATCTGGTGAGAACCTCCATTTTATTTATTTTGAGTGTAATAGAACGTCAATATATAATACAAATTTCTTAGAGCCAAAATGGTACTGATGGAATGAGCTTTAGGGCACAAATAAGTACATTTTAAGTTCATAAGATTATCTTAGAAAAGCAGTGTAGCTTCTTGATTATTTTAACACATTCTCTGGTTTGGAGTAACATGGACTAAGGCTGTACAGTTAAATTTGTGGCATAAGAAGTAGAGGGGTAGTTACTTTAAGGAGAAGTAAAAAAATACAGATTTGGAGTCTCAGGAAACGAGTTCTGTTTTTTATAGAGTCACCTAGGCTGGGTGTTAGAATCTTAAACGAAAGGAACCTAGTATGTATGCAACTTGTTAAACTTTGTAGGGAAATGAGCATATCCCTCTGGGTGTCCCTTTTTTGTTCATTATCTTATAGAGGAGTAAACTGCTTGGACAACTTGAAGTGCTGAGTTGTTACTTACCATTTGAATAAACAGTAAAATTATTTTGGATATAAATATAGTGTAACAGTTTTTGTTTTTTATGTTCTTAGGGCAGAATTCTTTTTCGTTTTTTAATCATCACCCCAGGACACTTTTGCATTTATCTTCAGATAGAGAGGGAGGAGAGAGAGAGAGAAACATAGATGTGAGAGAGACACATCGAGTGGTTGCCACCCACATGACCCCAACTGGGGGTGGGGACAAACTGCCACTGAGGTATGTGCCCTTAGTGGGAACTGAACCTGGGACTCTCTGGTCCGTGGGCTGACGCTCTAACCGCTGAGCCAAACTGGCCAGGGCTAGGGCAGAATTCTTGTCAGAGTCTTTTATTTATTTATTTTTTAAAATCTTTATTGTTGAATGTATTACAGATGTTCCTCATTTTTCCCCCATTGACCTCCCTCCTCCCCACTCCTGCCCCCTTCCCGCCTTTTCCCACACTATTGTCTGTGTCCATTGGTTATGCATATAAGTTCTTTGGTTTATTTCTTCCCACCCCCAACCCCCTTCTCTTTGAGGTTTGTCAGTCTAGCAACCAATTTGTACTTCTTAATCCCTTCACTTTTTTCACCCATTCCCCTAAACCCCCTCCCATCTGGCAACCAACAAAATGTTCTCTGTATCTATGAGAATGTTTCTGTTCTGCTTCTTCATTTTGTTTGTAGATTCAATTGTCGACAGATATATTTTCATTGCCATTTTGTTTGTTCATATATTTTATCTTTTTCTTCAAAAAGACCCTTCATCATTTTATATAATAATGGTTTGGTGGTGATGAACTCCTTTAGCTTTTTCTTGTCTGGGAAACTCTTTACATGGCCATCGATTCTAAATGACAGCTTTGCAGGATAGAGTAATCTTGGTTGTAGGTTCTTGCTTTTCATCACTCTGAATATTTCTTGGCACTCCCTTCTGGCCTGCAAAGTTTCTTTTGAGAAATCAGCTGACAGCCTTATAGGAACTCCCTTCTAGGTAACTAACTGCCTTTCTCTTGTTGCTTTTAAGATTCTCTTTTAGCCCTGGCCAGTTTGGCTCAGCGGTTAGAGCGTCGGCCTGCGGTCCGGAGAGACCTGGGTTCGGTTCCCGCTAAGGGCACGTACTTCGGTTGTAGTTTGTCCCTGGCCCTGGTTGGTCGTGCGGGTGGCAGCCACTCGATGTGTCCCTTTCACGTCGATGTTTCTCTCTCTCTCTCTCTCTTCCTCTCTCTCCCTCCCACTCTATCTGTACAAAAGATGGAAAAATGTCCTCGGGTGAGGATTAAAAAAAAAAAAAAAGATTCTCTTTTAATCATTTTGATGATGATGTGTCTTGGTGTGGGCCTCTTGGGGTTCATCTTGTTTGGGACTCTCTGTGCTTCCTGGACTTGTATATCTGTTTCCTTCACCAAGTCAGGAAAATTTTCTGCCATTATTGTTTCAAACAGGTTTTCGATTTCTTGTTCTCTCTCTTCTCCTTCTGGCACCCCCAAGATGCGAATGTTAGCACACTTGAGGTTGTCCCAGAGGCTCCTTTCACTACCCTCATTTTTTTGGATTCTTTTTTCTTTTTGCTGTTCTGATTGGGCGTTTTTTGCTTCCTTATATTCCAAATCGATGGTTTGCTTCTTGGATTTATGTACTCTACTATTGAATCTGGGTAAATTATTCTTTATTTCAGTTAGTGACTCCTTTGTTTCTGACTATGCATACTTCATTTCTGACAGGTCCTTTGTTATGCTACTGAGGCCCTCACTAAGTTCACTGAGGTTCTCACTAAGTTCATTGAGCATCCTTATAAGCAGTGTTTTGAACTCAGCATCGGTTAGGTTGCTTATCTCCATTTTGCTTAGTTCTTTTCCTGGGGTTTTGTTCTGTTCTTTCATTTGGGACCTGTTTCTTTGTCTCCTCATTTGGCTGCCTCCCTGAGTTTGTTTCAGTGTATTACTTAACGAGAGGTATGGGGCTACCTGAGACCAGATGCTGCTTGTTGGAAAGAATTTATTAAAACCTGAAGCAGGATCCAAGACAGGCCAATCCTATGGTTAAGCAACTGGCAACAGCTTGGGTGGGCCTGAAAGTTGGGTGGGGCGGGGCCTCAGGGAGTCACCAGGGTGGGGCTACCAGTGTGAGCCAGGTTTCTGGAGTCCCAGATGTGGCGACTGTCTGCTGCCCCAGGGAAGGGCTCACCAAAGGAACAAAGGCCTCCGACAGCACGTTTGTCCCAGAGAAAGCCCCCTCTCCAGCCCTTGCTCCAGTGCCAAACAGCTCAGTTCTTCCCTGTGTGTCTCTGGCGCCCCTCGAGCTGCCTCCCCTCTACTCTTAGAGGGAGAGAGTCCGATAAGTCCGTGCGCGGGCCCTTTAAGGAGCTGCCTGGGGCTCCAGCTGCATCAGCCTCCCTGAGCCTCAGTTCCCGCTGGTTTTTCCAGCCAGAAGTTATGGGGACTCTCTTCCTGGCACTGGAACCCTGAGCGAGGCGCCTCGTGTGGGATGGGGACCCCTCAGTCCTCAGGAAGGACCTTCCCAGCCGAGGTGTCCTCCTGATTTTTATCCGCCACACGTGGGTGTGGGACCAGCCTGTCCACCTCCGCCCCTCCTACCAGTCTGGATGTGGCTGCTGCTTTAATTCCGTAGTTGTAGGACTTCCATTCAGCTTGATTTCAGGCGGTTTTGAATGATGGTTGTTCTGTAGTTTAGTTGTAACTTTGATGTGGTTGTGGGAGGACGCGATACCGCGTTTACCTGCCCGCCATCTTGACGGAAGTCAGTTTCTTTTATTTTTTATCTCAGTGGCAAAGTAGAGCCGTGAAGAGTTAGGAGTAATACCTACACTCAGGATGAAAGAAGAGTAACACCTGAGTGTGAAGATTACTTAGAGGCTAAGACCTACTAAAAACTGAGATTCCACTATGGAAAGTTTTCAAGAATGGCCAGGGTTATTTCCTATGACAGGATTAATAAATGTGACGGACTGACCAGCGTTGCCTAATAAGAACACGCCTTATAGATGTTAGGCTTATCCATACAGGGCTCTACACATGCACATAAGTACTGTGTTTTTTAAATTGATTTTGAAGCATTAAAATTAATAAAAGCTTTTGTAACTAGAAAGGGTCCAAGTTAGGAACGAAGTTAAGCTGCTGGACTTGGTGTGTTTTACCTTTTTTTGTTTTCAGTCTCAGCTTTTCCGTACTAGCACATTATTTGTCACATTTTTTCTGTCTAAACAAAGCCCACCTGTAGCTTGCAGAAAACACTGGAAATGCTGTTGGAGGAAAGAGCAGAGGCAGTGCCATCCCCAGCGCAGCAGTGGGCAGAGTGTCGGGGTGCGCACTCCCTCCTGTTACCATGCTGGCTCTCGTTCTGTGCAGTGCGGCTTCCTGGTGTGGTGCATGGCCCCGAGCCCCTCCAACGGGGCGGAACTGCTCTACAAGCGTGTCATCCGTCCTATCTTCCTGAAGCACGAGTCCCAGGTAGACCATGTGGTGAAGGACTTGAAGGACAAAGCCAAAGAGACTGCAGATACCATCGCTAAAGAAGGTAAGACTTGCCCTGGCCAGTTTGGCTCAGCAGTTAGAGCATCGGCCCGCGGATCAGAGTCCGGGTTCAGTTCCTGCTAAGGGCACGTGCCTCAGTGGCAGTTTGTCCCTGGCCCCGGTTGGGGTTGTGTGGGTGGCAGCCAGTGTGTCTCTCTCACATTGATGTTTCTCTCTCTCTTCCTCCCTCTCTCCCTCCCACTCTATCTGAAGGTAAATGCAAAAATATTCTCAGGTGAAGATAAAAAAAAAAAAAAGAAGGTAAGACTCGGGCCCGGCCGGTGTGGCTCAGTGGTTGAGCATCGACCCATGCACCAAGAGGTCGCCAGTTCGATTCCTGGTCAGGGCATGTGCCAGGTTGTGGGCCCGATCCCTGGGGGGGGCATACAGGAGGCAGCCAGTTGATGTTCTCTCTCCTTGATGTTTCTATCTCTGTCCCTTTCCCTTCCTCTCCTTCTCCCTTCCTTTCTCTCTAAAAGCAATAAAGAAAAAAATAAAAATAAATTAAAAAGAAGCTAAGACTCAGGGACAACTTGGTTCAACATGTGAGAGGGGATAGGATACACTGGGCCCAAGCAATAAGCTTGCTGGTCTTCTTGTCCTGTTAGATTTACTAAGACTTTGCCTATTGTCTTTTACTTTTCCCAAGATTCTTTCTCCATGCCACATTTAATACAGTATTTCGTCAGCACATTAGGAAAAATGGCTTTCTGTGGTGGGCAGAGATTTTAGAGAATCATATGTATTTATTATATTCAGGTACATCTCTTTAATTCACTTCAGGTTGAACTGCTTAATATGCTGTTCAAATTGCTTTTGATACAGGACCCAGAGAATGCCCCCTCTCTCAGCTCTCTGATTCATTCATTCAACAGATAATGTACTGAGGTGCTTATTAGGTGCCAGGCATGTTCATAGCTCTGGAGATGAATGAGTGAACAAACAGATCATACTTCTTGAACTCATGGAAATGTACACTCTTGTTGAGAGAGAGAGAGAGAGGTAGAAAGAGAATCAAATTAAAATGTATGTTGTATGGTATAGTTAACATGATACAGAGAAAAATGTAGCAAATAAAAAAGATAGGGAGTGTGCCCTGGCTGGTTTCGCTCAGCGGTTAGAGCATCGGCCTGTGGACCAATGAGTCACGGGTTTGATTCTGGTCAAGGGCACGTACGTCGGTTGCCCTTGACCAGTGTCTGTTAGGCACCTACATGGAGCAAATAGCCAATTGAATATAGACATCAAGAGTTCAGGAGACAGGTCTGGGCTGAGGATATGACTTTGGGGGTCACCAGCATATAGACTGAATGAGAGATCACTAAGGGGGTAAATGTGGTTAGAAAAGAAGAGGACCAAGGACTGAGCTCTGGGGCCCCCGGTGTTTAGAGATTGAGAAGATGAGACACAGCCAGAAAAGCACACTGATAAGAAGTGGCCAGTTGAGGTGAAAAGAAAACCACGAGACTGGTGGAGACTGGTATCATTGGGGCCAAGCGAAGAAACTATTTCAAAGAGGAGGGAGTACCCATTGTGTCCCATGCTGCAGATAGGTCAGTAAGATAAGTACTGAAAACCGCATTGGATTTGGCAATGAGGAAGGCACTAGTGACCTTAACAAAACCTATTTGTGGAGTGGTGGGAGCAAAATCCTAATAGGAATGGTTTGAGAGAAATGGGTGGAAAAGCATGAGAGAATATAGACAACTCTTTTGAGAAAGTTCCTGCAAAGGAACTGGTAAAAGGGACTAGGGTCTTGAGGATTATTTTTTTCTTTTCTTTAATGTGGAAGGAACAAAGTATGTTTGAAAATTAGCCCTGGCCAGTTTGGCTCAGCGGTTGGAGCGTCGGCCTGCGGTCCGGAGAGACCCGGGTTCGGTTCCCGCTAAGGGCATGTACCTCGGTTGCAGTTTGTCCCCGGCCCTGGTTGGGCGTGCGGGTGGCGGCCGCTCGATGTGTCCCTTCACATCGATGTTTCTCTCTCTCTCTTCCTCTCCCTCCCTCCCGCTCTATCTGTGCAAAAAATGGAAAAAAAAATGTCCTCGGGTGAGGATAAAAAAAGAAAATTAATGGGCATGATCCAGTATAGGGCAAGAAGGTGATACAAGTGAGAATGAATTACTGGTGGTCTCTCCTTGACTAGACCAGAGGAGATAGGATATAGTGGACAAATAGAGGGATTGGTTGTAGGAGCAGGAACAGTTTATAATAACAGGTGGTAAGTCAAGGTTTAGGGGTGGAATGCTGGTAGGTGAGTATATGTGATGGTGAGAGCTTATCAAAGTAATATTTTGATTGCTTCAAATTTCTTAGTAAAATAGGAAGGAAAGGTGAGGTGAGAGAGGATAGGGAAGGAAGGGATGGAAAGAGGAGAAGGTATGAAATAGTTGTCTAGGACCAGGGTCAGCAAACTTTTTATGTAATTTCTGCAGGCTATCAGGTTTCTGTTGCAGGTTCTCAGCGCTCCCATTGTGTGGTGTGAAAGCAGCTGTACATGGAAGGTGTGGCTGTCATTTGCTGGCAGCTCTGAGACAGTGAGATGACAGTGAACGGCCCAGGACAGTATCATGTGACTGCCAGGCAATGTTAAAGGCTCACTTGAGATTTGTGTCCATGGACTTAAAGTGAGACTGGTTTGTCTGTTTTCCTCCAGCCACATTCAGAATAGGTAGAGAGCTGTATCAAGGTTTGTTAAGTAAGAACTATGAAGTGAGAGTGGGAGTAGGAGTGGTTCCTGTTTGGCATGGAATTTCAGCTGGGCAAGGAGAGGAGTGAGGCACAGTGGCAAAGGTGGTAAGATCAATGGATGATAAAACCGGGTGGTGGAGGAAGAACTGAATCAGGATAGGAGGAGGAGCTACAAAGGCAGGAGGTGATGGTGGAGAGTGGGATGCCCGACACAGATTCTAGAGGGACTGCAGTTATTGGTAGTGACAAGGATCAGAGTGAGTGTCTGCAGTAGGTGGAGTAGGTAGGATGGAATATAAAGGTTATTGGAGGGGAGGAACTAAGAGGTCAGGTCCTCTTTATATTGGAAGGATCACGTATATCTCTATGGATATTGAAATAACCAATAATTAAAATAGGAGTGGTATTAGAGAATGATAACTTGGGAGCAAAAATCTTAATGAAACAAGGCAGCATACCCAATGGTCAGAGATGACTGGAAAAAGAAGTGCCAGTGGAAGGTACAGTCTGATGACATGAGCTTCTCAATGTGGCAATGGAAAGCAAAGATAACACTCACCAGACCTCCAGACCCAGTGGTACTAGGGCCATGGAAGAAAAAAGAAAAAAAAAAGCGGCTGCCATATGAGAAAGCAGTGCCCTCAGGGGACAACCATATTTCTGTAAAAGCAAGAAGGTCAGGGAAATATTCAGAGAAATGGATGAGAATAGAGGTTTTGCTGTTGGTGAGTCTTAAGTCCGAGAGGGCACAGTAAGGGTTTTCAGAAATTAGAAGTGGGTAATGGACATGGACTTAGGGAATGTTGTTGTTAAATCTCTATGGTAATTCCCGGCCAGTGTGGCTCGGTGGATTGAGCCTCATCCCATGGACTGAGGTCCTGGTTCGATTCCCATTCAGGGCACATGCCCAGGTTGTGGGCCCGATCCCCAGTAGGGGGTGTGCAGGAGGCAGATGTGTGTTTCTCTCTTACATCAATGTTTCTATCGCTCTCTCCCCCTTCCTCTCTCTCTCTCAAAAATCAATTAAAAAAAAAAAAAAGCTCTATGATAATTAGAGAGTGGGAGATGAGGGCGACCTGACCACCAGGGAGGTAAGGTCCCTACCCAGACAGCACCCCAGCAGCGCTGATGGCCTGCACTTCTCCCTCACTGACCTGTCTCATCTCCGAACTTCTGTTTCTGTACATAGAGCACCAGTCAACTTCAGCGTGTTTTTCTACAATTTTAAAAATAATGTGTAACCTTCACATACTCCCACTTTGGAATCACCAGTTGCTTTTTATGAACTTGCTTTCCTGTTCCTCCTCATCCTTAGCCTAACCATCAACCTTTGGTGATGTCATTTTTGTCTAATTTGCCCACATTTCTTAACTTCTTGGTTCTCTTAGACAGCAATACTCTAAAATTGAATTTTAATCCAATTTTACAATCCTAAAACAGGAGAGTGAGAATGAAAATAAGTTAGGAGGAACTTATGTGCTGACACACATTAGACTTTTCTCAAAGCTTCTGGATTCTCCAGGAAGTAAATTTTTACAAAGGGCTAGTTAAGAGGGAGGCTACAATTTCTTAACTTTTCTGCAAGTTTAATTGAATGGAGAGCAGCTGCCAGGCGGTGAGCAAGGAGGGACTCAGCTCTTATCCCTGGACTTAGGCTCCATCAACACAGCTGCAGCTGTGGAATCTCACAGGAGACCCTGGAGGCTTCCAGAAGACACTTTCCCGGCTCCATCCCACACACCACATTAGTTCTTACAGCACAGGCCAAGCTACTTGGTAATTAGGAAGGAGAAGGCTGTCTCCCACAGATGGATGAATACTTTTTCTTTTGTTTTTTTTTTTAAATCCTCACCCAAGGATATGTTTTTATTGACTTTAGAGAGAGGAAGGGAGAAGGAGAGAGAGAGAAACATTGATTGGTTGCCTCCCATATGCACCCTGATTGGGGGATCAAACCTCCAACCTGGGTATGTGTCCTGACCAGGAATCGAATCCACAACCTTTTGGTGCATATGACAATACTCCAACCCCTGAGCCACACCGACCAGGCAACGAATACTTTCTTAATGAATGTAGTAGCTTGCCACCAACTCAAAGGCTTGCAGCGTACTCTGCCATCGTAGGAGGAAATGGTGGCACAATGAGGAATATAAATGTATAGAAGTATATCATGTCTGGGTCCTAGGAATGACGACTCTGATTTGTCACCACAGAATAGGTGGATGACCTAGTTGTCATCATATTGAGACATAATTAGAGTGTACAGGTGAACACCCATATGCAGACGAGAATTTGATTACACAGAGGAACACTGTATGCCCAAGGAATCTGTAGCTTGTGATGCTTACAGGACAGAGGGCTTAGGTGATACTCCACTACCAGGGGGCTAGGCTAGATGACCTTAAAGAACTTTGCTCGAGTACTCAGGATTTGTGCCGTGAAATGGTTTCTTGCCCATTTCCTGGAAACTTGCTTAGCCCTGACCACAAACCTCAGTGTGTTCTCATCTGAACATGAGTCATCCCAGTTGTCTAGTAGCTGCATTATGCAGAGCCTGTATTGCAAATAGCTTTGATATAATGTCCTTTCCTCCTAACAGCCAAGAAAGCCGCCGTGAATTTACTGGGTGATGAAAAGAAGAGCACCTAAACCACCGATGGGATGAAACCTTCCTGCCCTCTGTACCTTTCTATTAGAGCTTGATGTTGTGTTAGGGACTGTGGTATAATCATTTTAATGTTGCCTTGGAAACATTTTTGATATATTAAAAAATGGAATGTGTGTAAGTATTTTTTGCTTACTTTTACTGTCTATATACATAAGGAGCATTTTAATTTAATGCAATGGGCACTATCCAAATTTTTGGAAAATATATTTTGCCTCTGGGTAGGGAAAGACGTGTTACCATCCTACAGGAAATAATAAATTTAAAATTTTATGTCCCTTGGGCTTTGTACTTCAGTGGGCTCTCTGCATGCATTTTCTCTGTATTGTTTAAGGTTCTACTTTATGTAATGTACAATTTTGTATGAAATGTTTTTAATGTATTTGTGCATACATATATGTAGGGAAATGTACTGACTGTAACACATGTAATGCTCATGGAGAGCACCTGCCAAAAGCTGAAGGTTCTGTTGTGCTGGTGTGATCTCTAAAGAATACTTCAGTGAATTAACACAAATGAGTGATAATTCAAATGATAAATGTTAAGTGATACATGAGGTTGAATGGAGGTCTGCCTGGTTGTTTTCCTAACATTGTAGCAGCTGGATAGTAGAACAGTTTTGTAAAGCAGTCAATTTGCTGCTAAAGAAGGAAATGTACACACCTCAGTAACCTAAACTCCCAGTTACCTGTACAACTAGTAATACTGTCTTATGGCCTTTTAATTGTTTGTAAGCTTTAGATTAGTCTGTTTTTGAGATGCTAAAATGGAAATCATCCCTGGTTTCACCTTCAATGCTAACACATTGGTTTAGTCTTGCTTCTTTCCCAGTCTTTTTTAAACCAGTTTAAGGACCCTCCAGGGACTTGCCCACCTCTGATTACATGTTATGTTCTTGTTTATATCATTAGCTAGCAATACATACTAATAATGACACCAGGCTCCAAGAGCAATTCTGGGAGACTGAAAGGAAGTTTGGTATAACCTGTAATCTAGTTGGCAGTGGTTCAGTCTAACTGCCTTCACCTTCTTTCTCTGGTCTTTAAGGTCAAACACAAGAGGCCTCCCTGGTTTGCAGGTCAGAGTCATTTGTAGTCTGTTAAATGCCTTCATCTTTATGCTTTGTTTTTATAAACTGCATATAACCACATAGTTTAAGTACAGAACAAAAAGTTAAAATCAGTGTCTCCAGTTTGATTAGCCAAGTTGCTTACAGGGATGGTGAGAGCTTGTCTGGACGAGGAAGACTGAGCTCTACACCAGCCATACTGCTGGGACCTTCTGAATTAGACTGAGCTGTCTGAGGAGTATAAGGAAACTACCAAGCTCAAATACCAAGCCTGGAAAATATTTTTAAGGCAAGTAAAGATTAGTTCTCCTTTCAATAACAATTAGATAAGATCATAATGATGTCTTATGATGTTAAAAATATTAAAGATATCAAAAATAAGGGATAGATCACCTAAATATTATAATATGGATCAGGGCATTTATTTTTTTTCTGGGAAAAATAATGGTGATCATAAGGCATCTTATTAAACTTACCTTTAAAAACAGTTAGAAAGCAACAACTATTATCTGGAGAAAATCAAGCCTTACATTAAAAAAAAAAATTCTATTAGGAATATTTCAATCTCTTCCCATAAAGTATGCTTTTCTTGGTGGCAAAAGAATGAAAATTAGTATACAGAGTATATTTTCAGGCAAGATAGGAGGCATAAAAGTTACTAATGCTCATAACCACTTACAGGCTAATATCAGTTTAAATACATTCTGAATGCAAACTTGTCTTGGTAACTTTCTCCTATAGTGCATTCTGGAAGATATTTGGTACTGTTTTGGGCAGTTAAATTGTACGTTAAAGACAGAAGTTATGAGTTGAACGATTCTGTCTCAGCTTCAATTTCCCAAGTAATATATTGCCATACTAGAGTATTTGAAAAAACGAATTGAGTTTATGTCTAGCTAGAAGATAAACATTTATTTGTACATGAATGGTATTTTGGGGATATGTAAAGTTACAGAATCCCTACAATTCTTTCTCTACTTGAAAGGTTTCAGATCAACAGTTACTGCTACTCAAGAGTCTTCTGCCCAGAGGGCTTGAAGAAAATTAGCATAGCCTTTAAATAAGTTACCGCCTATCCTGAAGATGTGATATATTGAATGGAAATGGATGTAAATAAAATGCCATTATCTCACTGAACTCTGTTGCATTTCATTTTATTTTGTGGGCGGGAAGAGATTATCCAAAGAATTTATGTGCGTATATGCATAACCCATGGACACAGACAATAGTGCAGGGAAGGCCTGGGGTGGGGCAGAAGCCAGGTGGAGGGGGAAAATGGGGTACAAATGAGTGGCATTTTTAATACTCTCAACAATAATTTTTTTTTAATCTAGACTAATTTATGCAAAATCTGAATACAGATCAATGAACCATAAACACTACTGTTTATTAATCCCATTCCTCCCCTGGCCTGTAATTTTACCCTGGTGATTACTACCCATCAGAGTTAAGGCCTTCCCTAAAGAAAATACACCAACCAAAAACAAAGTTTCTATCAATAATTCGTATTAGATGTAAAGGAAGTCTAAACCACTGCTCTCTGCTCATGTGCTGCATCACACATCTCATATGATGTAAGTTGGTGTAGTGTGTATATTTTGATGTAATAGACACTTCTCAGTGCCTCCAAATTACTCTATACTTTGAGACTAAGAACTTGATGAGTTTATTAGAAATTCCTACTTCTGGAGGGTGTGTTAGCTTTGTCTCCTACACCTGCCTTTACACATCTATATGTTTGCTCAGTCTATATGTGTCTAGAACAACATATGATTCAGATCCATAGCCCTCTATACAATATGTCAGGAAAGTAAATATATTTGAATGACCTTAATTAAAAGTTTTTCTGGCACCTACCACATGCTTCTTAAACTACCTCTGTAAAATGCACACCTCAGATTAGGAACAATAAGAAGGTTCTTTGGTTACACAGTGGTTCTCAAACTTCCGTGTGCACCAGAATTTCCTGTAAGGGGGCAGGCTGTTAAAGCAGATGGCTGGCCCCGTCCCCAAAGTTTCTAACTCAGTAGGTCTGGGGCAGGGCTGAAAATTTTAAATTTCCAACAAGTTCCCAGGTGATGTTCGTGGTCCAGGAATCACATTTTAAGATAAAACCCCACTGTGTTAGGTAAATGCTATTTTTACACTTAGCATACAGAGGTTTTCAGACCTAGATGCCCATTACAATCACTTGAGCTTTCTACAAACACTGTGCTGCTATCAGACTCCACCACCAGAAATTCTGACAGTCCAATGTGGTACCCAGGTGCCAGTATGCTTTAAAAAGTCTTCAGGTGATTCTCACATGTAGCCACGTTTCCAACGGCTAAATAGAGACGACTAATGAAGCCAAGAATCCCAAGGTCTGGAGAATTTGTCTTAGCTGGATTATGCATCTGATGTGTTCGTTTCCTAGTGCTGCTGTAACATATTACCACAAACATTGGCACAAAACGACAGGAATTCATTAGCTTACAGTTCTGGAAGTCAGAGACCCAAAATGGGCTGGCAGGGCCGCACTCCTGGACACCGGAGAATCCATTTCCTTACTTCTTTCAGCTTCAAGACTAGCTGCGTTCCTTTGCTTGTGTCCCTCTAGTACTTGCTTCCCTTTCAGAAGGACCCTTGTGATTACATTGGCCCACCTGGATAATCCAGGATGCGGGCATACCTTGCTTTATTGCGTTTCATGGGTGTGTACTTATGGTGGTCTGGAACTGAACCCACAATATCTCAGACATGCTTGTACTCTCTCTAGTTCAAGATCCTTAATAACATCTGCAAAACCCCTTTTGCCATGTGAAGTAACATAATCACAGGCTGGGGGAGGTGGTGGTGATATTCTGCTTATCCTACATAGTCTCTCTTTGAATATAGAAATTTCATTATAGTCACACGTAATATCAAAGTAACTGATATTAAGAGCAATCTTTTTTTTTGGGGGGGGAGGGGGGTATGTGCTCCTAGCGGGAACCAAACCCGAGACTCGCTGGTCCTCAGGCCAATGCTCCAACCACTGAGCCAAACCGGTGAGGGCTCAAGAGCAATCTTAACGTTGGGAGGGAACTAAAATGAGGAGGACTGGTGAAAAAAAACTACCCTATCCCTATTCAAGTGAAAGACTAGAGGTTTATCCTCTGTACATAGTAAGAGGATCTTCGGGGTCTGGGAACCAGGCAGAAGTGATGGATGGAAGTTGTATTAAAAACAGGATTGAGTGACTAAAAGCTGAGACCCATTTCCCCACCCCACCCCACCTTCTCCCACAAGGCTCCCAGACCCTTATCCTCCTGAGAGCTCGTTAGATTTCTCTCTGGGGAAGCAGATCAGCTTAAGAGAAAACACCTCTGATCTTGGAAATTTCCCAGAAAACATCTCAGCCAAATATCCTTTCAATGAAACTCAGTATGCAAGCCCTTTTTGTGGGCTCAGAACTTCCAATCAGCTTTTTCATCTTTCACTTTTTTTTTATCCTTACCCGAGGACATTTTTCCATTTTTTGTTCAGACAGAGTGGGAGGGAGAGAGAGGAAGAGAGAGAGAGAGAAACACTGACGTAAAAGGGACACACTGAGTGGCTGCTACCCACACAACCAACCAGGGCCGGGGACAAACTGCAACCTAGGTACGTGCCCTTAGCGGGAACCGAACCCGGGTCTCTCTGGACCGCAGGCCTATGCTCTAACCACTGAGCAAAACTGGCCAGAGCTGATCTTTCACTTTTAAAAAATCCCATCAATCTAAGGAAAGTCACTTAACATGACAGGGATCAAAATAAAAACAGAAGAAAAAGAAGAAAAGTTAGAATATAAATCATAACTTCTGAGAAATTACATCCATGAAATAACAGAATGCTAACAAAAGGAAACATTCAGATGACAAGTTGAAAATACAAGAAAAATGAAAAATTCAATAGAAGGGTTGAAAGATAAAGCTGAGGAATTCTAGGAAATAGAATATAAAAGCAAAGAAATGGAAATAAAGTTCAGAAAGGGGGGAGAAACCATCAATGAAATATTTAAGAAAACTTCCCAGAACTTAATATCACCAAGTTTCCAGTTTAAAAGGGCCCATTAAGTACCCAGAACAATGGACAAAAAACCCACACCAAGCATACTGTGACATTTCAGAATACCCAGATGTTGCAGGTTTCAACAAGATTGATGAGGGTCCTAAGAGACCATAAAGTAATTAATACTTCTGAAATGATTTCCAAGGCTAATTTTATACCCAGCTGAACAGTGGGAGGGTAGAATGACAACATGCAAGGTCTAAGAACGTTTACCTCCTTTACATTTTTCCCAGGAAGATCCTGAAGACGCAATACACAAGACAACTAATTTAAGAAAGATGAATACACAGATGTACTAATACAGGATATCCAAACAGCAAAGCAATAGAGTCAAACTCCAGGTGATGGTGAAGAGAACTCAGAGTGAAGCTATGCACTAGGCCCATAGGGAGACCAGCAGATCAGAGCCAGGTAAAAGGCTCCAGGAGAAATTTCTTTACAAAGATAAAATTAATAGACTACCTGACGTGAACAAACTTTTGAAAGGACATTTTGGCCCTGGCCGGTTTGGCTCAGCGGTTAGAGCGTCGGCCTGCGGTCCAGAGAGACCCGGGTTCGGTTCCCGCTAAGGGCACGTCCCTCGGTTGCAGTTTGTCCCCGGCCCTGGTCGGTCGTGCGGGTGGCAGCCACTCGATGTGCTCCTTTCACGTCGATGTTTCTCTCTCTCTCTCTGTTCCTCTCTCTCCCTCCCACTCTACCTGAACAAAAAAATGGAAAAATGTCCTCGGGTGAGGATAAAAAAAAAAAAAAAAAAAAAAAAAAAAGAAAGGACATTTTGACAACTGATAATTTGTTGGTGAGTTAGTAATACTCAGAAAACTAAACAAATAAAAGAAAAAAATAATAGCTCCAAGGAAAATTTAAGCCCAGAAAACAAAAATACCCATAGCATACTTCTTAAACTTTAATGTGTGCTAAATATATAAATATAAATTTATAGTAGCTTAGTGTATGTGTGTGGGGGGACAGTAATAAAACTAGGCACCAGCTTTATATATCTCAATTTCTATATTTCATTTTTGGTTAATCCTCACCCGAGGATATTTTTCCATTGATTTTTAGATAGAGTGGAAGGGAGGGAGGGAGCAAGGGAGAAACATCAATGTGAGAGAGACACATCCATTGGCTGCCTCCCACATGACCCTGTGACTCCTGGGTTCTCAGGCCGATTCTCCAACTGCTGAGCCAAACTGGCCAGGGCTAAATTTCTACATTTCTATATAGTAAATTACTTTGAGAAATAAAAGTCATTTGGAGAAAAAAAACCCCAAAAACCTTACTTGTACACAAGAACTACTCAAGGATCTTGTTTGAATTCTGGGCTGGGGCCAGAGTCCACATTTTTCCCAAGCTCCCAGGGGAGGCCAGTGTTGCTTAACTCCTGAGCACACTTTTAAGTACCTTACTATATGGCTCAGCTACAAACAGAATATATGGTAATAATGTAAACTGTGAACAGTGACTAAAATTATGAAATATATTGGTAATTGATAAGAGGGAAAATGGGAAGCAGGCATGCATGTGGTAGGTTAAAGGAAGGAAAACTAAATTCTCCTCTTCTAAGAAGGAAGTTAATGCCTAAAATTGAAACCATTAAAACTAGCTGGCTCTTTAAATTATGTAAGGGTGTAATATTGATAACATTAAAGTCCTTAAAAAGTGGGCAAATGATGTGAACATAATTCACTGAAGTAAATACAAGTGGTATTTCAACATATGAATAAATACTCAATCTTGCTCATTAGAGAAGATTCCATTTTTCATTTGATTGGCAGAGAAAAATTCAATTATGCATTGATTACAACAATATGAAGAAAGAGCAATACCATGTTACAGCAATAGTTCTGAAACCTTTCTGACAACCCTTACTGCTCCAGAACTAAAACAATTTTCAACTCATCTTTCAAGTTAGCTGCCCTAGTATCCCCTCTCAAGTCCTTTCTTCTTGGCTGCCTCTATTATGAGGACTGAAAAAACTTATATCCATTGTCCCAGCCTGCCTTGCAGCTAAAGATGGACATGTGCCACAGTTCTCAACAATGAGACTACACACCTAGGCTATATGG